GCTCCATGGAGGGTGGTTCCTTCTTCCTGGCTGCCCCTGACACTCCTGGCCACTAAATAAATGCCTTTTGCCCTGTGTGGTGTGGTGCTATTTACCAGCTACCCTTTCTCCCACTTCTCTCTACATCTCTGGGAGAGGTTCTGGAATGTTCGGGATTTAGAGAGAAGGTGAAACTCTAGGTAAAACAGAGGGCCTGATCACGGTAGATTTAAATAACTCGTGCTCAGGCACAGCTCTGAGGGGCCAGCGTCCAGGGCATCTTGTTTTGTATATAAAGTGCACTGTGCAAGGCAAAGATTTCAAGAGTTGAGTGTTATTTTAAAAAAATTTTTTTTATTGATTTTTAGAGAGAGGAAAGGAGAGGGAGAGAGAACCATGGATGTGAGAGTGAAGCATCGATCGGCTGCTTCCTGCATTGCACAGTGCTGACACACAGTAAATAATCACTAGATGTTAACGCTCCATAGTTCCCAGATGCCTATGTGTCAGGGGTCGAAAAAACTATGGTGACGGCCCTCACCTGTCAGAAACACTGGAGACTTCAGCTCCACCCGGAGAGACCCGTCATGTCTCAGGTCCTCAGTCGCTAGTTTTCTCCACTGCACAGAATCCATTTCCTCCATGTTAGCCAGACCCTGGCTTAATGCCAGGGACTCCTCCAATCTCTTATAAAGAAGAATGTTCTCTTGTTTGCTTATAGCGTCTTTCTTATGCCTCCTCGTGTGGTTGACACTGGTCTGAGTCTAAGAGAATGGGGAGGGGGACAGACAATATTTGCTACAGGAACTAGACCAGAAGCAAGACTTTTGTAACAGCCCAGTCCTCCTGTGTCTCCCTGTCAGGCGGACTGAGGCTGGTGGTTTTCAATTTGCTCAGATCCATTGCAAACCCGTTTCCTATAACGGGGACATTCAATGTGAATGTGACTCTTTTAAAGTCAGCTTAGGCACTTGAGTCTTTTGCCTTGAGAGCTTTATGTTTAAGCATCAGGGACCATGTCAAACCCCCCAGTAGCCTCTAGGGAAAAAAAATATCAGACTTGCATTTACTTTAAAGAATAAGGCTTCTAAAAGAGCAGTTACTCTCTTTTCTTCCCTCAACCTTATGATTTGTCCCCAACTCAAAGCCCCTCCTACTGCATAAGTGAGAAACAAGGAGTCCTCTTCATTCAGGAATTCATCATACCAGGAGCTGAGCATCTGCAATTCAAACAGGACATAAGGACATAAGCGTTAGGAGGTGTGCTCGGCCTGCTGGTTGTTTACCTGGGAGAAGTGTAGGCTGCCGATTCCGGAGTCTCTAGTTTGGAGATACAATGGAACAGCAAACATTAGCCATGACCAACCAGGACGTTCCTCTGTCTTTCTAAATTTGCAGCTCACGCAGCCTCTCTCTGAACCTCAGAGGATAGTAACCCATACTTACTTAAGAAGAGGTACAACAAATAGTTTACTGAAGGACAGTTATTTGACACCTCTTAAATCTTTGTTCCTTTCCAAAGTACTATCTCATCTGATTCTCAAAATTGTCTGAAAACCAACCATCTTCTTTTGGAGTGTCTACTCTTAATATCTCCTCCTTGAAGACCTTGCCCACTTGTGAAAATTATTTCATTACATTAAAATAAATAAACAAACAAAGCCCAATAATAACAACAGAAAGCTATGCGTTAGTGCTTAGCTAGGTTTATCTATCTATACCCTCACGTTCATTCATTTATTTATCTGATGAATACTTCCTCAGTGCCTCCCACGTGCCAGACACCGTGCCCATTGCTGAGAATATACAGATCAATATGCTACAAGCCTGGTTCTCGAGGAGCTCACCTTCTAGCATGACGGCACATGCCACCATAGAGGTGTGGACAAAATTCCCTGGGAGTGGAGAGGTGGGAACACATTTCACAAGAGGTAGGGGGCCTCTAGACTTCCTGGACTGAAGAATTGTGTGCAGGAGAGCTGTGGCTGTGGATCCACTGGACTGATCTGGTCCTATACAACCCAGATGTGCAACCCTGGATAATTATTCTGTACTGGAAAATGTGCTGGACTTAGAGCCAAGAACTCCTGGGTTCTACCCCCTGGTTCCTCTACCAGTCTGCTGTGTGCCTTGAGCTAATCCACTTACCCTCTGAGTCTCACTTTCCTCATTGTACAAATGACAATACTACCCTGTATGCCTCTGAGAGGTGCTAGAAAGCCTCGATGAGGTAATGTGTTTTATAAGGTAAATAAATTATAACGCACTAAAAAATTTGCTACTTATATCTATTTGCCCTTCCAGATCTACTCTCTACCCTTTCTTTACCGGGCTTATGCCTTGGGAAATTAACCTGTATGGACCACATCAACAAGCTCCCATGACCTCTGGTTGGGTTTATCCAGTCAGGAGATGGGAAGGCAGGAGCCAATATCTATTCCCCTTGGTCCCTCCCAGCCAGATCACTATGGACTGGCTACATCCCTCTACTGACAATTACAGCTCCTGCCGAGCGCTCCATTCCATATAGCTCTTCTGGTAACTATTCCCTCTCCTCCACTCTTCTGGCCTAAGAGTGATAAAGGTGATCGATCCACCATTACTGGCCCTGGGGTACTGCACTATCCTCTGTAGTTTCCCTACTCTCGTGCCCACTACCTTGTAATTAGTCTCTTTTATTGGATGCTCATCTGTTTCCCAGCTGACTCTGCCATTTGTTTTCTCTCACGATCTTGATGATACAACGATCAAGCAATGGGCCTTACTTCCTTTGAGTCTTTAGGATGGTCTCCTGCTTTTATCTCATGTTTTGGGATAAGAATAAACCCTTCTCCATTGGCCATTTTCTTGTTGGCTATTCTAGGAAAGAAAGACCTTGCATTCTAATACATGATGTTCAGAACAGAGTTATTAAAACTTCCCTCGGTGGAATACTCAGAGGTTCATGGTTTTGGGAGACTCCACATAAGGGGGAACTGAAGAAGGAATAAAAGGTGGATATTGACCACTCCCCCACCTCCATTCTACTTTGGCGTTTTGGCTGTTTCTTGGGAATTTGTACAGCCTGCTCCTAAAAAAGTAACAGACTCTTCAATAGGTGAAGGGTTATATGGGTAATTATATCATTAACTTAGTATAGATGAGCAGATAGGATTTCAGGTCAGTTTTGACCCAATCTTCCAGATCTTAACCCATCTCGGTAAGGTGTGACCTACCTGGCAAATCTCCTCCTGGGCTTTGGGTATCCAGGGGTTCATATTCCCAGAAGGCAGCAGCTCCTTCAGACCTTCAATGGTTTGGGATTTGAGTGGTAAGCGTGGACCAATCTGTTCATTCAGGTAGAGCTCACAGATCCGGTTGCCCAGTATGTGCCAAAAGATGGCATTCCCAGTCTTCCTGTTATTCATCAGGACATTGAGGAAATGGTGCAGGTCCTGCCAGAGGTCCAGGAGTTGGATCTCCATTTTCAAATTCAGCTTCTTCAGGTGGTCCCGGAAGGGACTCCCTGCAAAGGCATCAGCACACAAGGCCCAGTGGGTGTACCCCAAGGAGAGTCTTTTCTTGATGGCCCCCTTGATTGTCAAACGGGGGGAGTGACGGATGATGGGGGTGGCCGTCCTCAGGTGGGTAGAGATCTTTGTCTCAAAGAGGCCCTCCATGTGGAGATGGCTCTTGGCTTTCTTCTTCATGTTGGACTTCCTGGCACGGAGACTGTCCTTTTCCAGGGAACCGCTTATTCCCTCCTTTGAAGAGGCCTTTTTCAGGGAAGGCATGTGTACAACCACTTTCTCCTGAGGACAGATCTCCTGGGAGGACGTGGAATTGTCGCCTGGCTTGGTATCCAATTCTAGAGACCACGAGGCATGATCTATCAACTGCCACATCTTCCCTTTGATCTTCCTGCTCGAGTACCGCCTCTGGGGGTGGCAGGACTTCTTGATGCTCATGTTCAGAGGGAGCTCTCCTGCATGGGTACAGCAAAGACTGCACTGGCGGGTCTCATACTCTTGCATCAGATGCTGGCATGACTCCTCCTTAGCTATGATGGTCTTGGCATGGGTGTGAAAGTTGGGAAGCCAATAGCTCTGGAGTTTGAACAAAGCCACTTTCTGCATGTTGCTCAAGATCTCCCGCCTGGTGGTTGACTGGTTGGGATGCCAGATGGAAAGGTTCAAGAGAGACTCTGGAAAGAAGACAGAGAGATGGAAGATGAAAAACGATGTGGCGCCAGGGAGCTTTTGAAGTTTTTCCGAATGTTTTTTGATTAGAATTTCATTGGTTCCTCACGCAACCCAAGGTTGTGAAGAGGTCAAATATATGGTGGATGCAAGTTTACGATTTGCTCAGCACAGTGACCCCTTTCTCTGATTACCTTCCTTTTTCCCCAGATAAATAAGTCTAGGGGATTCTTCAAGTTATTTTTTAGACTATGGAATATTATTGTAAAGAAAAGCAAACATCACATGAAAACTTGTGTAAGAACATGTACCTCTGAATGGGATTTCTCGGGATCAGATCTGACAGGAGGAAGGACTTTGGACAATAATTTGAAGGAGTCTTTATTAGCCCTGATTTTAATGCCATCAATTCTCAATTCTCTCTATGAATTAAGAGTAGAGTGACTAATCCCAAAGAGCAAATCTGGAACACATTTGTGTTTGGGTTAGCAATGCCTCCGCACTGGCTGTTCTAGAGAAGAGGTTGGCGGCTTTGTCTGTGAAGGGCCAGCTAGTAAACAGTTCAGGCCTGTGGGCCACCTACAGTCTTTGTTGCACACTTGTCTTCTTTAACCCTTTAAAAATATAAAAACATTCTTAGTTCATAGGCCACATGTACTTCACTTGACCCGTGGGCTGCAGTTTATTCTAAAGAATCCCAATTGAAAAAAAAGAGAAAAAGAAAAAAAGACAAGCCCTGCAGGCTCAGAAGATGGAGGAGCTATGCAATTACCTTGCTCCAATTCCTCTTCACTCCATCCAGCAAAACATCACTGGCAAGTAAAAGCTCAGGAAGAGGCCAGTATCAGCCTAAGGACAAATGGTCTCTCTCATCCCTCCCCTGTTATGGGTTGGGTCTCCCACTGGCATCCCTGATACATAGAAGATGGAAAGGGTGGCAGTGTGCAAAGCAAGAGACTGAGGGCTATCAGACACTGGATTGATTTCTTTGGTTACATCTCCCAGGGATTTTACTTCAGAAACACTTTATAGTTCTTACTGATGTTCATGTTGCAGAGGGTCACTACCCGTGAGCCCTCCTGAAGATGGGTGGCCTTCAGCACAAGGAGGAGAGATAGGTAGTGGTCTCTCAATTCCAAGTCCATCTCATCTATGCCCAGGATCTTCTCAGCAAGGATCCAGAAATCCACCAGCTCTTCACCTACAGACCAGACAGGGGAGGCACAGAGCTACACCCCTAACTATCCCCTTCAGTGGTTGCATCTGGGTGTGGCAGCTGATACCCCCTCCACCCACCTGCTCTACTGCCTTCAACATTAGCCACTCCTCTGGGTCAAGGCACCATCTCCAGAAATGTCCTAATATGGGGGCAGATGGGAGTCATGGAGGAAGGGAATTAATGGATAGGGATCTTTTGTGACTTTTTTATTGTTCGAAAAACTGTCACTTTAAGAAAAACGGCACGACTCTGAAGATGGATCATGAGACATTTGAGTTTGGTCCAAAAAATAAAGACAGAGGGAAAAGCAAGTTTCCAAGATTATGAACCCAGAGTAGCTAGCAGAAGGACACTGAGGCCAAAATGTGCCAAACACTATGTTCCCTGTTTCATAACTGTCAGGGCTGATGTCCTTGTGACAAACTGAATGATAGTTCTTCCCTCCGTGTTCCCTGGAGATCCAGGATTTCACCCTTAAACCAGGGCTTGTCCCTGAGTAAAACTTAACATTACTGAACTGTCCAAGCTGTTGGCCTCCCAGTATCCACCAACTACTGGACCCAATAGAGCAGAAATCGATGCATCCCAACAGGTTCGCCACAAGGATTTATTTATTTACTTGTTCCTTGTCTGTCTCCCCACCATCGTGGCAGCTTTATGACGTGGGGATTTAGTATAGCTCTCACTCACTGTTGTATCCCCACCTACCAGCACAGTGGCTGCCATAGAGTGGTGCTCAATCACCATTGTTGAATGAATGAACAAATGAGTGAGCGAAAGGGACTCAGATTGCGTTTGCCCTAACCTACACTATGGATCCCAGTTTTAAAAGACTTTACTCAAACTGCATTATAAGTCATTTTTTATATTCACCATAGACGCACAGAACTGTCAGTAAGTGCTCTGGGGCATCCTGGAAACTGTTGAGAACTTGCAAAGGCCCCAGGAAGAACTCCAAGAACCCACCTGCACTGCCCTTGAGGTAGGTACAGAAGCGCCACATCCCTCTGACCCCGCCAATGCATTTCTGGAGTAGCCACTGGTCTGCCTTTTTCCATCTCATCATCTTGGCTGCCAGGAAAAGTCCATGGTGAGAGAGAGTGAGCTCTGTCCTCGGCTTCTCTCTCAGCCTCACGCACGGTCGACCCCCATTCGCTCAGTGAGGAGAAATGGTGGATAGTTAGATGAGTTGGGTCCTGATTATGTGGTGCTTTTGAAACTAGGCACCAGACCCTCTACTGACATGCATCACGTGACATGTGAGAGACCCACAAGCACACGTACAATCCAAAATCAAAAACACCCTCCAACCAAGGCCCTTTGCCTTCTACAGTCCCCTCATGGCAGTAATTCTACCAATCCAATTTCCCCAATACGTATATCGCAGGAGAGAGAGAGCATAGCAGTGATTTGTTACAACATTTTACTCAATGGGATCTCCTGAATCTTAACCTTCCCTGGGTGGAGCATATCTGATTTCCTTTGGTTAGTTGAGCTGAAAGTAAAGTTACCAATTCAATCCTAGATGGAGATTTTATTCATTCATTCTTTCAACAAATATTTATTACATGTCTACTAAGTGCCAAGTACCATTCTAGGTGTTCGGGATACATTAGCAAACAACAAAAACCCCTGCCCTCAAGGAGCTTATAGTCTAGTGAATGAGACAGACAATGAACAATCAGTATAACAAGAACATTATCTGGAAAAGTTGAAGCACTACAGGAAAAAATGAAAAAGTAGAGAAGGGTTGGGAGTGCTAAGGCAGAGGTTGGACAAGTGGGCATTATGGTCTTCATGGAATAGGTGAGAACTTCACAGAGATTTGAGGAGATGAGAGTGGGAGCCAATGTGGATATGGAGGAAGAGCATTCCAGGAAGAGTAAACAGCCAGTGCAAAGCTTTGAAATAGAAATATGCGTAACATGTTTAAGGAACTGCAAGAGGGCCAATGTGGTGGAAATGGAGTGATTGAGGAGGGGCATAGGAGGAGATGAGGTCAGAAGGGAAATGAGGCCAGGTCTCTAGGACCTTGAAGGCCATTGTAGGGGTGTTGGATTTCACACTGAGAAAGCAGCCATCAATGCATCCCAATGCATCAATGCAGGGGTGGCGGGTGGTGAGTAGAGGAATGACATGATCTGAATTAAATGCTGAAAGGCTCACCCTGACTGCTTTGAGCAACAGAACAAGAGCAGAACCAAGGAGTCTAAGATGATTTCAGTGGCCAGGTGAGAAATGACGGTGGCTTAGACCAGATGGTGGCAATGAAGGTGGTGAGATATGTTTGATTTTGCATAGAGTTCAGGCAATTTTGTCATGTTCTGTGGCCACCATTCATTCTCTCATTTATGAATGTAGTGAGACAACAGCCAGCCCATTTGACTCCTGCTTATTGATCTAGGTAACAATTTTCCAGCTCAAGATTTTTACCTATTGTCACAACACAGACCGAGCCACCTGCATGTCTAAGGCTATAAAAGTAGCCACTATTTGTATGTTACTGTAGGACTAACACGCAGCCTGGCTTTCCATATTTCTCCATACTTATACCTTCATGCTTACCTCCTTCTGGGGAATTAATGAAACTGATGAGCTCTTGACAAAGAATGTAATGGAAACACAAGTTGGTTTTACAGAAGAAAGGTAACCGGTATTTTCCCAGCCAGGTCAATAATCCTTTGTACTTTGGAATCTAGAGTCCAAACAAAATAGGAACAGACAAGAGAAATGGAACTGAACTAAGAAATGCAGCTTAGAAAAGGGCAACAAATAACCTAACACTTGCTGAATCTGGCCCAGAGATTAAAAATAGAACCTAAAGAAACTGAAGACTTGAACTGAGGCTCCCAAAGGAGTGAATGGACTGGTACAAAAAAAAATATTCGTGGGTGAAGCTGTTTTAAAAAAAGATCTAAGTCACCCAGCTGATGTGGCTCAGTGGTTGAGCGTTGACCTATGAACCAGGAGGTCACGGTTCAATTCCTGGTCAGTGCACATGCCCAGATTTCAGGCTCAATCCCCAGTGGGGGTCATGCAGGAGGCAGCTGATCAATGATTCTCTCTCATTATTGATGTTTCTATCTCTTTCCCTCTCCCTCTCCCTTCCTCTCTGAAATCAATAAAAATATCCATTTTGAAATATGATCTAAGTCTTGCTTGATAGAAGACGAGCAGAAGAGACTTTGGTGTTGAGTCATAACTCTATTCAATGTGCTTCTTTATAAGCACATTTATAATATTTTGCAGGCTCCCAACCCATATCAACTGCACAGCGTGTACAAAAACACACAAAGACTCACACATAACATCATTTAGAGTACAGGATGGATCCCTGAGACACTGAGCCACCAGAGAAAGGAGGAAAAAACTAAAATGTTTACGTTTCTGAGTCCTAGGAATACTAAATGTAACAATCAGGGTGGGGTGTCTTTCTCAGCTTCCCAGATCCCAGGGGAAAACAAAACCTTGCTGTGAGCAGGGATTAAGATGATCTTTCTGAGACTATCTGCCGCCGGTAGAGTATGTGGAAGCCATTGGTATGTCTAACATTTATACGGTGGAAAAGGATGCTAGTAACAGGAAGGGGGGGAAGGGAAAGAGAAAGACAATGGATGAGGACAAGGAAAAAGGATATAAAGAGGGAAAAGTGAGACAAATCTCTGGAGGAGAGTGGTGGAGTAGGTATTAGGAATTGCAGAGTGGCATCTGACCTTGAGCTACACCTTATCATGCAAATTACTACGTAGTAGCCCATGGACTGTGACTGCCTACCCCACACCCACGTCAGGCATTGCCAATCAATTCCCAGACTCTTTCTGGCTTAGGTGTGGCCTCAGAGTTCTTTTCAACACAGTGCTTCAAGCATCTACTACCCAACCAGTCACAGTGAGCATGAGAGATGAAGTCCCATTTGCTAACCACTGATTGGAATATAAAAGAAGGAACTCACCAGCACCTCTTGGCCAAGTGATAAGAATGCACAAAGGAGAAATGTCTAACTGGCTTGATACTGTTTGCTCTACTCACCTGCTTTCCTTTTTCCCTCCCCCTCTCCCTCTCCCTCTCCCAATCACACATCCAATTCAGCTCTCTCAGCCCCCCACCCCAAGACCGCCGCCACTGAAGTAAGGCTCTTACTCACCAAGTCATGAGGTATTTCTGGCCACAAGCTCCACTGTGCATTTTCAACTGTATAAAATGGCGTCTGACCAAAGACCTGCAAAAAGAAAACGAGGAAACAGCCAAAGGGGTAGAGCTTCTCCTCACGAACATGTCCCGGGACATCGCAGCCACAGGGGAAGAGAGGTTCCATTGCTTTCCTATTTCAGGGGACATTCATTCTTAAGTGTACTCCACTGAATCAACTTGCCTTGCCCCAAAACACCCAAAGTAGACGAAATGACAAGATTTGTTTATCTTTTGGCGCTGCCCTGCCTCAACCTGGGAGTTATCTTGCCTGTGTGCAAAGGCCAAAGCCCAAGCTATTAAAAGGTGTTGATTTTTGTGTATTTTGTGTATTAACTGGCTAAAGCCAAAGGTCTAAACTCTTTCATAAAGAGAAACAGCTTTGGATTTGCCTGAACTCTTGAGCTGGAGAAAGTAGAAAGGACCAAGGATATGAAGATTAGGGGTACTGATTACATATGGGGGCATTAGGTGTCCAAAATTGATAGATAATTCTAGCCTTTTGTCATGGAGCAGAGCCTGTGACCTAGGAAACCAGGTGGGAGGTGATAAGGATCTAAAGGCAAAAAGGATGGGACAGATAGGAGAGATTTTTTTACAAAGCAAAATGCCAGACCTCTCACTGTTTGAAGGTTGGGGAGAGGCGGTAACAAGAGGGAGGAGTTTTGGGGTAACAGGCTTGGCTGCCTGGATGGATGGTGGTGCCAGCAACATGGTAAAAAGAGGAAAGAGGAAGAGACCTCTAAGAGCAGGTCTTTGGGGTGATCCTCACGCATACTGTTACCTCTGCCAGTGTCATGAAAGGTTTCAGAAGTAATACTAAGACAGTGTATTAGTTGCAAAGTGCTAAGGGGCACAGAGGCAGGGAAAATAAGTCCCATTGGAAGGACACCTGGGAATTCCTTAAGGAGAACAGGACTTAAGCAGAGATTTGAAAAATGGTTAAGACTTGGACGGTGGAACTACAGAAACTAAGAACCCAGCTCAGCAGAGGTGTAGAGGAGGAAGAATGCCAGGGGGGCTCCTTTGGTAGACTACTGGGTACCGGCAGAGGGTGTGATGGGCAGGTAAAGGCAATTAAGGAGGTGGGGACTTAGGATTGGATTATATCAATGATGGGAAGCTCCTGAATATTTAAAGGAAATTCTGATTCATATTTGCTTGCTCAAAGTGAAAAGTTTTTATTTGGTAAGTTTATTTATTTTTTTTCAAGGCACATGGCTCAGTGAGATTCACTACTTGTCTGTTGATGAAACATGTGGATTTAAGTCCGAGTGAGAAAACTTACCGGGAGAGAAAGAAACGTGTTGAAAAAATCAGCAAAGATTTCATCCTCCAGCAGAATTATGAGATTGGTAGAACAGATTATCTCTATATGGGGAGAAAAAACAAACACACTCACGAACCAGAATTGTACTCAGGATGAGAAAACGAAGCAACTGAATGGGTCATTTCACATCGCCAAATCTTAGCTGGCCATGGCCTCTGGGGTCATCTAACTCAATTTCCCCCCCACCCCAAGCCTCTCCTCTGCAGTATCACTCCGCTCGAGCACCCCCAGCTGTGGGGAGCTCGCGGCCTCCCAGGGCTGCCATTCCATTTATGAAAAGAGGAACTGGTTAGGAAGATTCTTCCTATTGTGAACTGCCTTCCTTTATCTTCTTCCTACGTACAGAAATTCTACCCTCTGAAGCTTCACAGGATTCATTTAAGTCCTCTGAAGTGGGACAATGCTCGCACATTGATGAAGACATCACAACCGTCTGCTTATCTCCAACCCCTCTTGCTAGTCATTAAGCAATTCTTCAACCGCCTCCTTGCCATCTGGTTCCCCTTGTGTTGGTTGGAGTGTCTAGCACAACTCAAACCATCTGCACTCACCCCAGGGAAGGACACAGACAACTGCTGTCCATATCGCATGTTTTATCAGTGTGGCCGGAAGTAGGGTTAGCTGTGGGTGCTCTCTCATTTCACTGTTCACTCCACCATCCCTTATTTATTCAGTCACTTTTCAGAAACCAAGGGCAAGAATCTACATTTATTCCAAAGTGTAACTTATTGGGTTGGGCCCAACGTTAAACCCAACGAGAGCTTTTCTAAATATTGATCTGGTCGTGCAAAATATTTTCATTCTCCTCAGGCTTGATCACTGCACTGTCCAAGTTCATCTGAGGAGATAAATGTTGAACGTTACAAAGCCAAGCATGGAGACCACAGGTGGACGAGGTGACCCCTGGAAGTTAACTCTAGTTCACTATCTCTGCTCTTAGAGCACAATGCTCAACTAGTGAATAATAAGCTAATTGTTCTATCGATGTTCCTACATTTGCCCATCACACCTAAAGTTTATAATGGGAGACTTATAAAATGAGCAACCTATATACTATAACTAGTCCTATCCCTCAGTCTGAACAACTGATGAGAATAGTAAGTACCACTCACCACCACTAGAGTGTAGTTATGATAATATAAGAAAACTAAACAAGACTTCCATAACTTTTCCTGATGACACTTGATGATTATTGTCTTCATATAATAAAAATGGAAATAAAAGCTCAGCCAATCAAACACTATTGTTACAGAGTATGCCAGTTCATGCCCTCTGTTCCACAGACCTATTCTTTCTGCCGCCTCGTGTTGTAATTTAAAAAACCAACAACACAAAGAGAATTTATTTAAATCAGCAAATTCAGATTCTTCAAGCCCCAATCCACAGGGGGAAGCCCTTCCTCCTTTCTTCCCTCACACCATCCCTTAGCCACAGCGAGGGGAATGGAAAATGGGGGGCCAGGAAGGCCTCTGCCAGGGCAGGCTTCCTTCAGCGTGTGGCGAGCACAGTCCAGCTGCGCAGGGGTGGCAGCTGCCACAGACCCCTCCCTATACATTAAGTCCCTGCAGCCACAGCTGTGAGTGAGGCATATTTGTGGAAGGAAGGCCCAAAGGCATTGCTGCTGACCCCCAGCCAAGGAATAAACTGAAGGCACAGAGATCCGGGAAGAAGAGGTCTGAAGGAGGAGGAAAAGGCCCTAAATTTTGGTCAGGGAAAAAGAAGAAGCCAGTTCAGGGGTCCTCAAACTACGGCCCGTGGGCCACATGCAAATACAAATATTGTATTTGTTCCCATTTTGTTTTTTTACTTCAAAATAAGATATGTGCAGTGTGCATAGGAATTTGTTCATAGTTTTTTTTTAAACTATAGTCCGGCCCTCCAACGGTCTGAGGGACAGTGAACTGGCCCCCTGTTTAAAAAGTTTGAGGACCCCTGGGCCAGTTGGTCCAGGTTTTGTGAGTTGGGAGAAGGGAATGTATTAGTAAGCACAGGTGGAGAGGCTGCCATTGGGCACCCACAGAGGAGACACGCCAGGCCAGGTCCCCACCCTGGCAGAGGGGAGCTTGAGAGCTCCAGGGGCTCCTAGGGAATGCCACTGCTAAAAACAAACAAACAAACAAACAAATAAAATAATACATAAAATAATAATAAATACATAAAATAAAAATAAGCTATCCAAGGGAGGGCAGGAGCAGGGCTGAGGATGGATCAGAGGAACTGGCATGACATCCCATAGCCAGTCATGCCTGCCTGAGACGCCCTGTGGTTGGTGCCCATCTATAACCCAATCACGTTCTTGCCCTCTGCAGCTGGTTGTCCGATAAGTTCTGAGAGCTTTCCTTGGATTTCTTAAAAAACCAGTTGGGATCCCCAGAGAAAAACCCATCACCCAGGCTACTGCCAGTCCACCCAGTTTTATCAGTGTCCTCTGCACACAGGCCATTTCTTTCCTTCCCAGAGGTCCCTGGTCTGGAAGATGTTGGTGCTATAGATGCCGTAGCGTTTGGCTGCTGACAGGAACTGCGACATCTGCTCTATCCACTTGAAGGCCACGGAGAAGGCCTGGATCTTCTTCACTGGGCCAGCCCCTCGGGGTACATACAGCCCGTTAATGTGCTCACACAGCACCGTGTGCCATCCCTGAGCCGATTCTGGATGTTCTCACGCCTGGGCTGGGGCCGGCCCACATCCTTGCCGCACTGGGCAGTGATACACAGGATCAGGATCTGCTCCAGGTCTGCACTGTACCGCTTCGCAATCTTCTGCTGCACCTCCCGGCTCAGGCATGTCCTAAAGTCAAACTCCTTAGTACAGTATCTGAACTTCACCAGATCTGGCTTTTGGGTTCCCTCCCAGCCTCATCTCCCACCACCCCTTAAAATTAAAGCCCTTGGACTTCCTCTCAATGATGGACTTTTCTGTATAATTCCTCCCGCCACTTCTTGTGTGTATCCTCATGTTTAATTAAACTTCCTTTCCTACAGATGTTATAAAAGAGGAAGTAAACAATATCTATATGGAAAGAAGCTATCAAAGGCTTTCAACAGTGCCACCTGTTGACCATACGAGACATTGCTCTTCCTTACGCATTGCTCTGTATTCTCACTTCCAACCTCCATGTCTTTGTTTTTGCATTCCCATTGCCGGAACTTTTCTTTCTTTTTCTTTATTCCAACCTGTTCCTTTCCCTGTATTCCCAATCTCTGTTACTGGAACCACAACTCAATGATGGACTTTTCTGTGTAATTTCTCCCACCACTTCTTGTGTGCATCCTCATGTTTAATTCAACTTCCTTTCCTACAGATGTTATAAAAGAGAAAGTAAACAATATCTATATGGAAAGAAGCTATCAAAGGCTTTCAACAGTGCCACCTGTTGACCATACGAGACATTGCTCTTCCTTACGCATTGCTCTGTATTCTCACTTCCAACCTCCATGTCTTTGTTTTTGCATTCCCATTGCCTGAAATGTCATCTCAATCCCATCTGCTTCAGAAATAACTAGTCATCCAACAGGAACTGCTCTACATATAATCTTTGTGGTGAACCAAGCATAGTAGAAGCTACTGCAATGGCACCGCCCCACACACACACCATCATGTACATCTCCCATTATTACAATGAACAAGTCATTGTTTTCATCCATTGGTGTATCTTGTCTTCCTCACTCGACTGAACTCTATGAGAGTAGGAACCTTGCCTTTTCATCTTTCTTTTCGACTTCTTTCCCTGTCTCTAGTTCTAAATGCCCGAAGAGATATGGGACATCTCTACATGAACATCCACCAGCACCTTCATCTCAATATTTTCAACGCTGATCTGACATTTTTTTTTTCTTTTCTTTCTTTCTTTTTTTTCTTCATTCCAACCTGTTCCTTTTCCTGTATTCCCAATCTCTGTTACTGGAACCACAACTCATCCAATGATCTAAACCAGAAACCTGAAAATCACCTTAGATTTCATTCCCCCCCCTCCACTCTCTCTCTCCCTCCCACATGCAATAGAGGACCATGCCTTGTGGTTTCTCCTACATATCCCTGGAACCTGTCCTCTCTTCTGCATCCATAAAGTAAGTCACTCCCTTATTTCAGGCCCCTGTCATCTCTCACCTAGACTATTGCATCAGTTTCTTAAAATCACTTCCCTAGCTGTGTTCCATAACTATACACATGGCTGGTGGCAAGGGGCTTGATCATGATAGGACAGTCTTATTGGGGTAGGGGAACAAAGCTCTCCACATCTTCCCCTTACTCATCCTGTAATTTCTTCATTCTTGTTTTCCCTTTCTCACCTCTTCTGCCTTCAAACCTCCTAATAATTCGGGAAGGCATTCAACACTCATTCCACACAATAATTATATCAACTTGAGAACCAAGGAAATCATTGACTAATCCTAAACCTCATGCTAGCCTGGAGGAGGTATGACACAGGATGGCCTGATCGGCATTTACTTAGTTGTCTTATGAATGGGGTCCTGTCCTGTCCTCAAATATATGGTGGCATAAGGTGGGGAAGGTGGGGTGGGGAAAACAAGAGCAGAGCGAAGGAAAACGGAGGGCGTGAAGAACTAAGAGCCACTCGTGGTGTCCCTGAATGACTCAGATCTATTAATGAGTGGAAAGGTGTGAGTGATTTGCCTTATTTGGGGACTCAAAGCCTCGGAGCCCGCCCCATCCATAAAGTAAGTCCTAAAGTCAAACTCTTCAATGTCCTAAAGTCAAACTCCTTAGTACAGTATCTGAACTTCACCAGATCTGGCTTGTGGGTTCCCTCCCAGCCTCATCTCCCACCACCCCTTAAAATTAAACCCCTTGGACTTCCTCTCAATGATGGAATTTTGTGTGGAATGAGTGTTGAACGCCTTCCCCTCAGGGACTCACCAGCATTGCTCATGTTGCCATGCTCTTCCTGCCACTGTGATTGATAAGGGGCAGAATTAGCCCCATTAACAGAACCCAGCTCTTTGAGAATGCACAGTGACACCTGTTCCAAAGGGTTCCAGATTCTACCAGTCTTTATGTGACCCAATCTCCCGGATCC